ACCTTCCGTATAGCTCCGTCCTTGTCGCACTCGTGGGGCATCGCCACCTGAACGCTCTTCTGAATCAGTCGGCTGGTTTGGGTATGGCTCCTAAGGCGGGGGCGCATGGCGGGCGAAGGGCGGGGTGCAGGGCAGGCGCGGGGCGGGCGCGGGGCGGGCACGAGCAGGAGGGTGTGAGGGCTGAGGACTTCACTGTGGGCGTGGGGTGAACGCTCAGGGAAGCAGGCGTGGAGCCCTGGACGGGCGCCCTGGACGGGACGCGCGGCACGTAGAGGCGGCGGGTGGGTGGACACGGTATAATGAGAGGTTGGCCGGCGGGATGGCCGGCGCGCACACCGAGGCACTGGCAATGCCGGCCCAAGGTCAGGCTCGGCCGGCCCGGGCTATCAGTCGGCACAAGGTCCTCATATAAGGCGCGCGGATCCTGCGCCGCCACTGTCTCCGCCAACATGCTGTCCCAGGTGCTACTCCTCGCGGTGCTGGTGGCGGCCGCCGCCGCGCAGCTCCGTGAGTGCCACCCGGCGCCGCCCCGCGGCATCCTCGACCCCCCCTGGGTGACCGATGGACACGCGTGACTCACGTCCGGCTGGTCTTGTGCTTACAGCCGACTTCATCCCTGTGTGCGCCCGCAGCGACCCGAATCTGGAGGACTGCATCGTCAAGGCCGTGGACGACCTCCGCCCGCGCCTGATGAAGGGTAAGGGTTGGGCGCCGCAGCCGGCGACATCGCGTTAGTGTTTTAACGTCACAATAATACCGGCGGCAATCGGAATGACGCAGGCATCCCCGAGCTGGACGTGCCAGCGATGGGCCCCTTCAAGATCGACGAGGTCGTGGTGGGCCCGGGATTCTCCTACCGAATCGTCGGCAAGAACCTGCTCGTCACCGGCCTGGAGGACTTCCGCGTCTTCAGACTCAAGTGAGTGGGTAGGCGCGCGGGCCCGGGGAGCGACTGTCTCTCGCCCCAGACCAGCTCCTCGTCGCCCTGGCCGCCGCGAGCGCCCCCCAAGGCCACCACCCGCCCTGTCCCGCACCTGTCACCGTCGCACCCCGCACGCGGCCACGGCCAGTCGAGGGGAACGTGGTGGTGAGATGGGAGGTGCACAGTGGGCTGGTAGTTTTCCGCCCGACAAGAAGTGAGTGGTTGGTTACTTGCACGTAATGTAATGGGTTGTATGGACCATTACCATTACCCGCGACTCCTGGCGCAGCGGCTAGGATAGGAGGCACGCCGTACATATTGCGCGCTTGGGGTCGTGGGAGACGTGAAGCGCCTCCGTCTCGACGGTGTGGCTCCTCGGGGAACACATCTCGAATTTCAGTAATCCACCTGTAATTAGTGATCGCACCGGTCCCCTTCGCGCCCCCCTGGATCCGCCGGTGCTCGCCTGGCAGTAGCTGGCTTCGGTCGCTTTTCAGATGATTAACGGCTCTTTTGCAACTCCAGGGCCGACCTGGACCGCAACACGTTCTACATCGGCGTGGAGATCCCCGCGGTGCGCTACACCGGCCAGTACACCATGAACATCCCCACGCCCTTCATGAGGGTGAACGGCGCGGGCTTCGTCAATGGCAACGCCAGTGAGTACCTCTTCGCCACCCTCCGCCCCCCGCGCCTATAGTCAGCCCACTAACGCACCTTGTGACACCCCGCTGCAGCCAACATCCGCGCCAACGCCGTGCTCGAGGGCAAGATCGTCAAGCGCGACGGCAAGTCGTACTACAACTTCAAGACGATAGACCTCGACGTCAAGCTCGGTGACTACAAGCTGCGCATGGACGGCCTGTTCCGCGACAACAAGATCCTGGGTGAGTACGCGCTGCCTGCGCCTGCCCAGCCACGCGGAGCGATTCTGGCAGCTAATCTCCCTGTAACTTTCCTCTGCGCGCAGAGGACCTGGTGCTCAACATGATCAACGACCGGTCCAAGGAGTTCGCGTGGATGGCCGAGCCGCTGGCCGAGCGAGCCGCTGCCCAGAAGGTGCTCCAGTGGGCCAACATGATCGCCAAGAACCTCCCCATCGAAGACATGTTCCCCTGAAGCGTGCGCCGCGTCGCGGACCGCAGATCCGGTTGCTATTATTGTGATATTCTAAACTAAGTTACGAAATTGATTGGCTGTTATTAGAGCGCGATTCGCATTAAGTTTGATTTATGATACAGAAACTGAATAAATAAAAAAGCAAAGTCCTTCGATGGCGTAATTATTATTACCTTGTGCGATGTGCGATATTTGCGAAGCTCTCGGAGCCGGGGCATCACGGGTAGGTTCATGTCGGGTGGTAAATATTGTACACCGCGCGTTTTACTAGTTATCACATTCTTAACGATTTCGAACGATTTCCGGTGACTATCTAAACCATTCTTTGTGCAAATCCTACTCTAAAGTTCTGAATGCAAACACTTGTCTGAAATGCAAGTGCAAAGTTTTGTTTTGAATTTATTGCCCAACCCGACCCCAGACCCAGACCCTACACCTTTGCTTGTGCTTGCTACGCCGGCAGGGCGGCTGCCTAGCGCACCTGGCCGTCGCATGGGCGGCCTACTCCACAGGGGCAGAAGGAGGGATGGGAGCCAGCGAGCAGGCTGGGCCAAGCCGAGGCACGGTGGATATGGCAACAGTAGTAACAAAGTTGGTATGCTAGGAAATATGGTGTGAGCTGTTTGACGAAATAGAGGGATGTGAGAAATATCGTATTCTTCCAGATCGTCACAAGGCCTTGAAGAACTCTCTCGTGCGACCAGCTCCAGAAAGGCCACATCTGGTAGGCTGAGGTTTTGTTATGGTACAGAAGAAGGCTATGTTCGTTATCTTCTTTTTCATGAAAACCCTCACCAGTAACTCGTAGTTTCTCGGCGTGATAGCATAGCATTATCTAAAGTAAGGCACTGGTTCTACATCAAGTAGGAAGTGTGAGGTCCTACTGTACATCAGTGTAACATCATACTTGATTTTACAGCGTAACTCACTTCAAGCCACCCGAGAAAATGAAGTGACTCACAGAAACCGCGGCGACATGAGCCAAGTCGATACAGAAAAGATAAATAGAATCTTCATCCATTACGTTACATTACATATTGGAGCACTTTGGCTCCGAAGCAAGGTAAACTTCTGACGCACTACGCGAATCGAAAATTGTTGCGCTATGCTAATGGACAGGGGGGAGGAAGTATGCGTTTCTCAAAATTTCTCACTTTGTACAGTACCGTCCGCGGGCCGGGTCATTTCGAGACGGGCGTTGTCCGACATGGCGTGGCGTGAGGCGGGCGCTGCTGTTCGCGTGAGGCTGCACTCGAGTGCACCACGGTTCGCGCGTAGGGAGGCCGAGCGGCTAACAGACGGAAACTAGGCATTGAATTGGAAATTAAAGTCAAACCGTGTGTGTTCGGCGCGGCAGCTGAAGGCAGCCGGGGCCGGCTGTCCCTGTTCCTCTTCCACGCAGTGTTCCGCATGGGCCCTTGAACATCGCATTGTTAATACCTTGCGAAGCACAGGCTGCGGCGGATTACAAACCATTTCCTGTGTAATCACGAACATTTCCGTTTGTAAGCTTGCCAAATCGTGAGTAGCTAGAAATAAAATTTCGCAACGGTTTCACAAGGAAGGCTTTTTGGCTTTATCTGTGCAGCAGTCGGACGCAGGAGAGCCATGCGCGAGGCGGGTGTTCGCGCGGTGAGCGCGAGTGGTTACCACAAGAGATTACCACATCGTAGATCATTCCGCATTTTGAAAATAAAAAGACAAAAAACAAGTCAAGTCAAAATAGACTGCCACCGTAAATTTTGGCTATGTCGTCCGCAACGCCCTTGACCTCCGCCGTAACCGCGAGGGGAACCCCCGGGCCGGAGGGGGCGGCCGGTGGCAGCACTTTGACGTCGTGTGCAGACGTTAGAGACGAGACGTCCTGCGTCCAGCGAGCGAGCGGCCGCGACCGTGATTACTGTGCGAGACGGGCTCTGCTGCTCTCCGGTACACCGGGGGGGG